AGTCAGATCAAAGGGGATTAAAGACCTCAATATCAGACATGAATCCATAAGGTACATAGAGGAAAATGTAGGCAGAACTCTCCATGACACTGAAGCTAAAAGCATCTTTAAGGACAAAACTGAACTGACCATCCAAGTGGAAGCAAACATAAACAAATGGGACTACATCAAACTAAGAAGGTTCTGCACTTCAAAAGAAACAGTGACCAAAATACAGAAAGAGCCCACAGAATGGGAAAGAATATTTACCCAATACCCATCTGATAAGGGATTAATATCCAGAATATACAAGATACTAGTAGAATTGTACAAGAAAAAAAAACCCAACCGCATCAAAAAAATGGGGAGAATAAATGAACAGAAGTATCCTCAAAAAAGAAATACAAATGGCCAAAAGGCACATGAAAAAATGCTCCACATCATTAATCATCAGCGAGGTGCAGACCAAAACAACAATGAGAAATCATCTCACACCACAGAGACTGGCACACATTCAAAAGAACAAAAGCAACCAGTGCTGGCATGGATGTGGGGGAAAAAGTGACACTCTTTCACTGTTGGTGGGAATGCCCACTAGTCCAGTCTTTCTGGAAAACAATATGGACAGTCCTTCAAAAACTAGAAATTGAGCTTCCATATGACCCCACAATACCACTTCTAGGAATATATCCCAAGGATGCAAAAAAGCACAGTAGAAATGACCTCTGTACCTATATGTTCATTGCAGCACTGTTCACAATAGCCAAAATCTGGAAACAACCCAAGTACCCTAGAACAGATGACTGGTAAAAGAAACTATGGTACATCTACACAATGGAATACTATGCAGCTGTCAGGAGAGATGAAGTCATGAACTTTGCTTATAAATAGATAGCCATGGAGAGTATCATGCTAAATGAAATGAGTCAGAAAGAGAGGGACAGACATAGAGGATTGCACCCATTTGTGGAGCATAAAACAACATAACATGAGGCTGACACCTAAGGGTAGTAGATACACGGGACAGGTAGATTGCTCTGTAGCTGGAAGTCTGCCTCACGAGTGGAGGGGAGAAGGCAGCTGGAATACAGAAGGGATCACTAAGAAAATGATGGCTTGAGGAATCAGTCGGGATGGGAGATGTGTGCAGAGAGTAGATAAAGGCCCAAACATAATAACCTCTCAGGGTCTTTATTTCAAACCATAATGCCCAAAAGTAGAGAGAGCATGGGGAATATTGTCTGCCATGGAGGCAGGGGGAGGGTGGGAAAGGGGGTTATACCTGGGATATTGGCGGTGGGGAATGTGTACTGGTGGAGGGATGGGTGTTTGATCTTTGTGTGATTGTAACCCAAACATGAGAGCTTGTAACTATCTCATGGTAATTCAATAAAATTTAAAAAAGAGTAAACAATCTTTTCTTGTGCCTGATATATATTTAAAAAATTTGTATTAGTGAATCACTGTGAGTTACAGTTACCGACTTACAAACTTTCGTGTTTGCGTTTCAGTCATACAATGATTGAGTATCCATCTGTCCACCAGTGTCTATTCACCACCAATGATCCCAGTATCCCTTTCTGCCACCCTCACCCCATCCCCCCCCCAACCCCGCCTCTGTGGCAGGGCATTCCCCTTTTGATCTCTCTCTCCTTTTGGGTGTTGTGGTTTGCAATAGAGGTATTGAGTAGCCATAGTGTTTGGTCTACCGTCAATTTCAGCACACATGTCCCTTTCTGAGCGGGTTCTCCAAACACCCTTTACTTGGTGTTCCTTTCTATATCTGAGCTACCTTTTCTCCAGCATGTGAGGCTGGCTTCCAAGCCATGGAGCAAACCTCCTGGTACTTATCTCTATTATTCTTTGGTGTTATTCTTGGGTCTCCCATTCTGTTACTTTATATTCCACAGATGAGTGCAGTCTTTCTATGTCTGTCCCTCTCTTTTTGACTCATTTCACTTAACATGATACTTTCCATGTTGATCCACTTTATGCAAAGGTCAAGACTTCATCTTTGCTAACAGCTGCATAGTATTCCATTGTGTAGGTGTACCAGAGTTTCTTTAACCAGTCATCTCCTCTTGGGCACTCGAGTTTTTTCCAGATTTTGGCTATTGTAAACATTTTGTGGCTGATATTAAAGGAAAGACTTTCAATTTTTTTCCCATTGAGTATGTTAGCTGTAGGTTTGTAGTATGTGACTTTAACCATATTGAGAAAATTTTCTTTCACCCCATTTTTTGAGGAGTTTTAACCATGAGTGGTTACTGCATATTGGCAAATTCTTTCTCTTCAACTAATGTTTTATGCTAATGTTTTTTCCTCTTGCACTGATATGGCAATGCACTATATCAGAACAGTGAAACTTTTTAATGTCAAGAATTTTGTGTCCAGGACATAAGGATCATTAGGTAAAGGAGAGAACAAATATATCTAGGAACACACATTTCTTATTACTGACTAAGTGTTACCTGAACATCTATCATGTCTGGGGTACTATTTAAACTACTTTCTGTACAATTTAAAATATGACCACAGTAGGGCTACCTAACTGCGCTATTCTATATTATTATTAAAGATTAGTAATATTGACATGGGTTGGAGTGATAGCACAGTGGGTAGGGCATTTGCCTTGCAAGCGGTCAACATGGCCGACCCAAGTTCAATTCCTCCGTCTCTCTCGGAGAGCCCAGCAAGCTACCAAGAGTATCTCGCCCTCATGGCAAAGCCTGGCAAGCTCCCCGTGACGTATTTGATATGCCAAACACAGTAACGATTGTCACACTGGAGACATTACTGGGCCTGCTTGAGAAAATCGGTGAACAACGGGAGGACAGTGAATAATGGTATAATATTTAAAAATTATTTTTCAGAGAAGTTAAACAACTTGATGAGGACTTTGAAATTAAATTTCCAGTTTTGATCATTTTTATCTGACTCCATTTGTTGGGAAAGTGGTGGACATGAGTGAAGTGGAGCAACAGGTGGTGAAACTCTGGTATAAAGAGTTTAGATTCTGGTTCCAGCTCTGCTTCTGTGATCCCACACAGGCACTTAATCTTTCAGCCTTAGTCTACTGAGTTAGGGACCCACTAAAGTGATATCTGAGATTCCCTGAGATTCTCCGAGAGGGGCGGAGGAATGCTTCTAAACATTCTTGATCAATAAAGGCGAGAGAATCAAAGAAAGATGGTATACAGACTTTCAAAGTAGTCTCTGATGATCTTTTGGATTTCTTTGATTACTGTTGTGATATCCCCCTTCTTATTTCTGATTCGTTTTATTAGGGTTCTCTCTCTCTTTGTGAGTCTTGCTAGTGGTGATCTATCTTGTTTATTTTCTTGAAGAACCAGCTCTTGGTTTCATTGATCTTTCAGATTGTTTTTTTGGTTTTCATGTCGTTAATTTCTGCTCTAAGTTTTATGATCTCTTTCCTTCTGCCTGATTTGGGCTCCTTTTGTTGGTCCTTTTCTAAGATCTGGAGCTGTGAAGTCAAGTTGTTTATGTGGGCCCTTTCTTGCTTCCTGAGAAATGCTGGCAGAGCTATAAATTTTCCCCTTAACACGGCTTTTGTTGCATCCCATAGGTCCTGGTCGCTCTTGTCTTCATTCTCATTTGTTTCTTTTGATTTTGTCCTTGACTTCCTTCCTGACCCACTCATTGTTCAACATTGAGTTGTTTAATTTGCAGGTGTTTGATTTGGTTCTCCGTGTCTGTGTGTGATTCTGTGCATCATGGTCTGAAAAAATTGTTGATACTATTTCTATCTTCCTGATACTATGTAGTTGCTAGAAAATATGATGTCATGAAATTTACATACAAGTGGTACTACATGGAAAGTATCAGGCTAAGTGAAATGAGTCGGAAAGAGAGGGACAGACATAGAAAGATTGCATTCATCTGCGGAATATAAAGTTACAAAATAGGAGATTAACACCCAAGAATAGCTGAGATAAGTACCAGGAGGTTCACTCCATGACTTGGAGGCCAGCCGCATATGCTAGGGGAAAAGGCAGCTCAGATAGAGAAGGGAGCACCAAGTAAAGGGTGTTGGGAAGATTCTCCCAGGATGGGAGATGCATGCTGAAAGTAGACTATAGACCGAACATGATTGCCACTCAATGCCTCTTTTGCAAACCACAGCACCCAAAAGGAGAGAGATAACAAAAGGGAATGCCCTGCCACAGAGGTGGGGTGGGATGGGAGGGATGGAGGTTGGGAGGGCTACTGGGATCAGTGGTGGTGGAAAATGGGCACTGGTGGAGGGATGGGTACTTGATCATTGTATAACTGAAACCCAAGCACAAAAATTTGTAAGTCTACAACTGTACCTCATGATGTTTCACTAATAAAAACTGAAAAAAAAAGAAAGATGGTAAAATTGATAAGGCTCTCAAGCTCATTTAAGATAGCAGTCACTCCAATGGGAAGATAACATTTACTCCTATGATCCAAACAAGGAGCTCTGATCTGTCCTACCATTGAAGAACTGTGCCATGGCAGTGACTATAATCAGTACGGGCATGTGTGCCACTTCAGTTCCACTGAAACATGATAATTTTCATTTCTGCTGTATAGGTGTTGTCTAGTCACAAAAACTAAAGGAATTTTCCTGTGACATCTTTTTTCTTGGGGGGGGCAGGGGATGGATTGGGGGACACTTATTGTGTGGGGCACCAAGACGTTCCAGGGATTGAAGGGGGAATCTCCCTTTCAAGCACACATGCAACCCCTTTGAAGCATCTCCACAGCCCAATGTCTTTTATTATATTTACATTTATTTTCCCCTACAGGAAAAATCCTATATCAATAATGTACTTATTATTTCTATTAATTAGTAAAGTTTTATATTTCTTTGCAGTTCTTTTTGTCATTCAACTACACTCCAGTATAACTATATATCTGAATACTATGTTCAAATTTGATTGAAATAATTATTTTCTGTTTGTATGTTTTAAATTTTATAGCGATAGTCACTATTGTTTTCAAGTTGAAACAACTTAACTATTTTCATTCAACAGAAACTTGGAAATAAAGACTAAACTACTAAAACGTTCAACCAAGAAAACTTCCCCAGAAAAGAAGAACAATTTTTTAGGTAAGTGGTACTACCCTAAAAATATTTCCTAATCTGAGAAGGAGTTAAGCAATTTTTATGCACTACTCACAGCCTATTTTTATCTGTGAAAAGTTTTACTATCACTTCATAAAAGCCACAAAAATTATGACCTGGTATGTTTGGGGATGTCTAATAAGTGTTTAATAAAGTAGTGTCTGACTTTGACTTTGGTGTCTCATTTTTGGGACACACATCACGGTGGTCATGGGCTACACCTTGTGATGCTTGAAGAACCATACACAGTGCCAGGATCAAACCCAGCGTTCAGTATGTAAAATATGTACTTCAGCCTACAAAGTAATCCGTCAGCTTCACACTCATTCTTTTCTTTAGTATCAGAGAAAAAAAACTGACTATAGATTCTAAATGGCTCAGAACTCAAATTAGTCTTTTTATTTATCGCTGAATTAAATGTGTTGCAATAGTGACTCAGTGGAAGTGGCTCTGCAACACTAAATTGAACCTTAAGGAAAAAAATGCATTTTCTTTGCAACCCAGAAGATACAAGTTCTTCACAGATACTAGAGAGAGGGGACAGGCTAGAATTTATGCCACAGTTACTGGCAGTGATGCAAAATTTAAAATTCAACCCTTAAGATACAATATCTCAGTTGTTTTACTTAAATAATTTAGAGAAAGAGTGATAAAAAAATTCCTAAATAATGTAGGTGTTTGGAATGCATCTTATTATTTGAATTGTCCCTTGGCAGATCTTCCTTCACAATAATATTGGCTAAACTTAATACTAAGATTGTTATTATTTAAATACCCCTGGAGCGATAGCACAGCGGGTAGGGCGTTTGCCTTGCACGCAGCCAACATGGCCCACCCGAGTTCGATTCCTCTGCCCCTCTCGGAGAGCCCGGCAAGCTACCGAGAGTATTCGATATGCCAGACACAGTAACAACAAAGTCTCCAATGGAGACGTTACTGGGCCCGCTCGAGCAAATCGATGATCAACGGGAGGGCCTTTACCTTTACCTTTACCTTTACCTGGTACAAAATTCAAAGTATCTGAGTTGTGTGAGAGGTCTGAGTCTTTTCTGAAAACTCAAGGTGCAAAAAACAGTCACATCTTATTTTTCTAAATATTCTATGCTGAGCTTTCAAACAACAAGAAACAAAAACAGATTTTAAGTTTTTTTTTTCCTCTTTGGAGGCTAGCAGGATCTAACACAATTATAAAGCCACAGCACTCAGTATACAATCATTACATCAAGTTCCACATGAGTTCTGGTCACCATTATAGCATTTTGCAATTAGTATCAACAATGTACACTACTTCACTAGCTGGAAGAAAGCCTCTACCCAAATCATTCCCTTTGTAGTTTCTAGGAAACTGCTCCCTAGGACCTAGTCATTCTTTTCTGCTACTTTATCTTCTTCATATCCATCATTCCATCTTTTCTTTGACAATCCAGTTTCCTTATGGACCTAAACAGAGTTCACAGTATGGGTCTCATAGTACATCAATCTAGTAGAAGTATTTCACTTATTCTGCACAGTGTTGTTGATGTTTTTAAAATTCAAGAAGCATTTTACATTTGGTAGATTTTGCATTAAAATACAAACATGTCACTTTTCTTTAAAAACTGGAAGATCGTGGCAACAGTTGAGTAAAGCTCACTGCTTTAGTTTGAGTCTGTCCATAGATCTTCTGTTACCACGAAGGAACTTTGACTTTATCCTATGGACAGAGCAAAGTCACTTACAACATTGAATTTTTAGAATCACAAGATACTTTTATGCTAGAGAGAGCATGTTGGTGGTGTTTCAAAAGAGGGAAAGTGAGGAGACAAGAATAGGAATAGAAGTCAGGGGTCTACAAAATTTTAAAAAAATAAAATTTTTAAAAATAAAAAGGGACTGGTGATCAGAACCTGACCCAACAACAGATGGAAGTGGAAGGGAAGGACTCCATTTCAGTATATTTTAGGGGTGAAATCAGTAAGACAAAGACAATATTTTGAAGGGTTCAGAGAAAAAAAAAAAGACTTTCAGCTTTCTAATGTAACAACTGGGCAGGCAATACTGCTTGTCAGGGTAACTAAAAATGAGAGCTATATGTTGGGGTAGAGAAAGACAAAGATGATTTCCTTATTATTTTGTAGATAGACACGTTCATGTAAAGAGGTTCAGAATTCAGGATACTCAGCACAGACATATGTAGATGCTATAAGGTAGCTGAAAGCCAAATGCCTATGGAGATGGAGAAACAGTTTATAATGCTCTGCAGTGAGACTCAAGAAAGAGCTATATGTGGAGAGTCACCTGCATGTCATGATACAGTTGAAATCATTGAATCAGGAAAGATTGTCCAGGAAAAATTGCCTAGTGTGAAAGGAAAAGGCAAAGAATGAAATCCTGAGGAACACCAATACTTTAGAAGCAGGCGTACAGGGAGGAACTAACCAGGCAGACATGGAAAAACTAACCAAAAGACAAGGTCGTGCCTATTAGAAAGAAACAAAGAAATTGGTCGATGTGACAAGAGGGAAGAAGAGTACATACAAGTAAGGATGAGGTCCCATAAGCCAAGTGCCATAGACAGGTTAGATAGGTCAAGAGTAGTAAAAACAGGAGTGAAATCAGTGATGTGAAGAAATTTAAAATGAAGTGATTCATTTCTGAAGTTGCCATTTTTAGTCTGGCTTTCTCAATGACAGATCTAATGAAGTGTCTGGGCCCCTTCCTATTAACTCACCAGAAATTCCTGAAGGATTTCATCATGCTATTGCAATGGTGAAACTCATTGTGAACACTTCCCCCAAAGCTATAATGAGACACTGCCCCAAAACAGCAAGCAGGATGGAGACTGGGTAGTGGCAATAACCCCTCTAAGCCGAAGGTCGCTTTTTGACCCCAGCCGAGCACTTTCTCTTACAGTGGTCATGAAAAGACTTAGGGAAAAGGGGGAGTTATGTACTTTTTATAATTATTTATTGAGGTATTATAACAGAATAATATCAATAATAATATCTTAAGCATCCAGTGCTACTATACCTGACACCAAAGTGCCAATAGCCCTATACTGTTGTTTCCCCCATACCATATAGAAAAGCATATACAAAATAAGTATGTTGATCGTATTGTTTTATACCTCTATCCCTGAACAGACAATGTGCTAGAATTAATAAAGTATTAAATTCGTTGTTAGGAGTCCAAGATCTATGCTGGCTGTGGCACAACTTTATAAATTATGTTGTCTCTATAAAAGCACATATATATGTGAAATACTACAGTTGATATTTCAAAATTCACTGTCCTCCCATTGTTCATCGATTTGCTCGAGCGGGTGCAGTAACATCTTCATTGGAGACTTTGTTGTTACTGTGTTTGGCATATCGAATACATCACAGGTAGCTTGCCAGGCTCTGCTGTGCAGGCGTGATACTCCTGGTAGTTTGCCGGGCTCTCCGAGAGGGGAGGAGGAATCGAACTCGGGTTGGCCAGGTTGTCTGCATGCAAGGCAAACACCCTACCGCTGTGCTATCGCTCCAGCCCTTATTACAAAATTTCAAAATTTCATAATTATTTCATAATTTCAAAATTATGAAGCAAAATTGCAAAATGCTAGGAACATTATGAGTACAATTATATGCCCTTTGTCTGGGAAGACAACTGAAATACTTAAAGGTAAATGTCCGTTTGAAAGAGGCAAAGGGAGATAATTCAAAATATAAACTAACTAATAAGAGTGTTTCCCTTGACTTTGAAAGGCATATTGACAAAGTAAATATTTTGAAGAATTAGAAAAAAATTAAGTAATAGGTACTAGAAAGATAGTACAGTGGATGGCCAAGCTGGTTCAATCCCTGGTACTCCAGATGATCCCTCAAGCTCCACCAGGAGTGATCCCTGAGTTCAAAGCTAGGAGTAAGCCAAAAGTAAGCCCTAAGTACAGTCAACACTCCCCCCATTTTTAAATCAAAGAATGAATTGCAAAGTCACAATATTTTACTTTTAAAACAACTGTAAATAATTGAAATTTGTCTATAACATTCAAATTTCCTGATGATTTATTTTCTTTAATGACGAGTATTTCAGGTTCCTTTTCTACTTGACTCTGAAAACCTTAAAGTTTCCAAATAATAAATTAAAAGCTTTCTCTTGAGAGAAAAAAGAGTGTTCTATTCTTTGCTATTTTGGTAATCAAAATCAGGACATACAAGGCACATACTTTATTACTGCACCATATCTCTGGATCTGATGTCTTTTTTAATATGAAATACATATTTTTTCTTTAAAATAGCTGGATGAGGGACTGAAGAGATAATAAAGTGAGTAGGATCCTTGCCTTGCAAGCTGAAGTAGTTTCAATCCATAACATCCCATATCCAAGCACTTCCAGGAGTAATTCCTTAGTACAGAGCCAGAAGTAACTTTGAGCATCACTGAGTGTGGCCCCCAAACCCAGAAAAGTAATAATAATTAAAAATGACTCGATGAAGATAGGATTTCTTAACAATTAGCTTTGTTATATCAAATGATTACTTGAATTTTTATTTTGTTGTCATTTTAGGCTCTAAAGTTACAGTGCAATATTATCTTAGAGAGTAATAGAAAGAATAGCTTTGATATTAAACATACTTGAGTTACACCTTTTCACCAGACCTTTAACTTTGAAAAACTAAGCCTGACTGCTAAAAAACTTAGATTATTATCTGTACCTGAAAATATCCCTACCCCCCAAAACCTTTACCTTGCAAGATAATTGTGAAAAGCTAAGTGAAATAGCACATAAAGTCATTAGTACAATACATACCCCACTGTAGATAGCAAATGGTAGGGTTTTATACACACACACACACACACACACACACACACACACACACACACATATATATAGGAGTAGTGCTGTTTATTCAGCCACTGATTAAGCTGATTGAATTGGGCATGAACTCCACATTGCTTTATTATTTTTTTTATTGAATCACCGTAAGATGCAGTTACAAAGCTTTCATGTTCAAGATTCAACTGAACAATGATTGAACATCCATCCCTCCACCAGTGCACACTCTCCACCACCAGTGCCCCCCGTCTATTCCCTATTCCCTCCTGACCATCCTAGTCCTTATCCTGCCTCCATGGCAGGTAATTTCCCCAATACTCTCTCTCTACTTTTGGGCATTAGGTTTTGCTCAAATTTTCCAACCATGATTGAAGCCTGCCTGCCAGGGGCAGATGCTAGATCACTTATTGTCCATTACTCATTTTGAATACCTTGGGTGCCAAAGCCATCGCTTCTGGAATCTTATATTGTAAATGGTTGGGTTCCATGGACATTTGTATAGGGCACTAATGCATTTTGGGATTCAACAGGGAGTCTCTGGACCAGGGCTGTTAGCATGCTAAGATGGCGCCCAGAGGCACATTGTGGGTGTGACAGCCAGGCCGATGATTAGGTGGGGGCTGGGGAGAGACAGCCAGGCACCTCTGCTGTCATGCGGCATAGAGATTTAGTCCTGGACCCTGCATACCTGGGCCTTGCTTGTGGAAACTCTTGGTCACTGGAATTCCATCTGGAGTAGGTGGGGAGATTGCACCTGCTCTATCTGGGGTGCTCCAATGAAATTGGCCCGGTATGGGGCCTGGAGAGATCTCCAGCTCTGTGGTGTCTTCTGGGACTCACTGCTGTATCTCTGACTTTTGATCTCTTTCAAGATTTATTTATGGGTCTCTGAAGCAAGACTAGTAATAGAGCTTACAGGGTGGCGCTGGAGTTGGTTCATGGGGGTGACTGCCAGTGCTTCCATGTGTATTGGGAAGTAGGGGGAGGTAGCCCATCCCAACTCCATGAAAGCCTGGAGGTTTCAGTCACAAAATCTGAATACCCGAATTTTCAGCAGATTATGTCTTGGTGTTGTCCGTCCTGAGATGGTGGAGTCAGACTGGGGGTATGGTGGCGATTTTGGATTGTGGAAGCAAGTGGCTGCTGGGGGCTCTGCTTGGGGAGGCACAGCCAACCTGCCCCCCTCCAATTTACTTCAGTCTGTTTAGCCATGTGTGGGTCCAAGATTAACTGTGACTTTTGGTCTCTTTTGAGATTTATCTATGGGTCTCTAAAATAAAACCAATAAATGAGCTTGTATAGCTGAACCAGAGGTGGTTCGTGGGCACAGTCTCCACATACCTAACTTTTGGCCATTTAATTTCTTGGTAAACTTGATCCCAAGTTTTTGGGGTCTGGCAAAAGGCACAGCAGCAATTTTGAGGTGTCAGGAAGCCTGAAGGCACTATCAAGCTGCTCATGCATTCGCCCTGCAGATACAGGTTGACCTGTTGGTGGCATCATACCCCAATGGTAGATATTTTAATATCAAAACCTTTATAGACTATATCTGTCCTTCCACACTATTAAAAATATATTCTAGGACTATGGAGATAGCACAAATGTATTCTAGGACTACTGTGCATGCTTTGCAAGTAGGAGGCCCAAGTTCAATCCCCTGAGCATCCTCAGGAGCGACCCCCAAGCACCTTATAATTATCCACTGAGTACTGCTCCAAAACTGGTATATATCAGTGTATATATATATATATATATATGTGTGTGTGTGTGTATTATAAATAAGTGATTATGGGTATCATTTGATCATAACACCCCTCCATCATTATGTGAAGACTGATATCTATTTGGTAAAGGAACACTTTCTCTTATATAGAATTACAAAAACCAAAATTTGTCTAATAATCTAAAGTTATCCACAACTCATTTGACAGCAAAATATAATATGAACTTATTTGACTCAGAGACTATAAAAATCCAGATCCCGGACAAGAACAGTGCAGTCTTCTGCCCCCACGCTGGGTGTTCCTCGCCAGGACCCCTTGGAGGGGAGTGGGTTGAGCTTTCCTCCCCACCCCGACCGGGGCTCCGGCAGCCGAAGACCTCCAGGACCAGCCACCACCATGCTGAGACCACTCTCCGCACACATGAAGGTACTGGCAGAGGGACAAAGCCACGCGGGTTCCAGGGCCGAGACCTCCAAGCCTACTTGGATTGGAGTCGAGCATCTTCCATCCAGATCCTCCAAATTCCAGTAGGCGGGGGTCACACCCACCACCTGGCCCCTGGCGCCGTGTAATCCCATCAGCGGCCAAGACTCAGAGACTATAAAATCCAGATCGTGCGGCCGCGAATCAGAACTTTTTTTTTATGACATCTTATTATCTCATTCCTACTTTGGACAAACTTGCAGGCTATCGAATGTAGCCTGCCCACAGGGCAGAGTCTGGCAAACTCCCCATGGCATACCAAATATGCCAAATACCAGTAACAATGATGGGTCTCATTCTCCTAAAGAGCCGTGAATATAATCTCAGGGCTAGGATGAAAGAGACGTTACTGGGGCCTGCTCGAGGCAATCGACGAATTTGACAGTTAAATATTTTTGTTTTTTTTTTTGTTTTTCGTGTTCAGGATTTACTAATTAAGACAAATCATTTTTATGATAGACTTTCCTATACTCTGCTAGGAATGTTTTACACATATAAATGTTTTCTTTCCTACACTCTGCTAGAAATGTTCTATATAAAACAGTGTAGGACACTCTATCATATATATTTGCTTTGCAACACAATTCCAATATCAAAACATCTGAATTTTAAAAATATTATAGTTTAACTAATATTATTACAATAAAATCTGTAGTATTGAATCAAATCAGTTTTTGCAAACTACCACCACCCAAAATGTCCATTACCCTCCACTATTGTTCTTATATAATCTGTGGTTCACTCTTTCACAGTTTTTTGTTTTTGGGGTGCCATACCCAGCTGTTCTCAGGGTTTACTCCTGGCTTTAAACTCATGGGTCACTTCTGGTGGGGCTCAAGGGACCATATGGGGTGCCAGTGATTCAACCCAAGTCAGCCATGTGCAAGATAAACACCATACCCACAGTACTCTCTCCAACTCCCTATGGTTTGTTAATAAATTCTGTAGTACAAGGCCAGGAGCTTGTAATTTGTTCCATCTGTCTATTTTCTTGTTTGTTCTATCCATATTCACAGATAAGTGAGAGCATCCAGTATTTGCCTCCCCTCTGACTCATCTGTCTAATTTCATCTTACTTACAGCTGCATAATATTCCACATCTTTGTTCTACATTCATCTGTTGGACACTTGGAATACTTCTAATCCTGGTCATTGTATTAGAACAAAGAAAAAACAAAGTACAAAGATGAAATTTCTGAATTTTGAAATACAACTGGTCCTCATAGTTGCACTATTGGTCTGCTACACTCAGGTGTCATACAATCACAAAAGCCCTCCCTCAATTATTCTTTTCATAAAAAGATAAATATATGAAGGAAACTGTCATTTTTTTATTGTTTAGACTCCAAACCGATTACCCAAGAAATTATCCAAAGACAACTACGCTTTCCAACTATTCTAAAGTGTAAGTATCGCTTTATGAAAGAAATCACCAAAATGTATTCATCAAAATGGTTTGGAAATTACATATTCTAGCAATTTATTAATATTATGATGGGTGTTTATCTGTATTCATTGACCACATATTATTTCATAACCAAAATTTTCCTCTTAGAAAGTTGTAAAGATGATGAACTGATTTTTAGTCATTTTCAAAAGAGCTTTAAATAGTTATCCTATAATGCTATGTGAAAATAAATAATACAAAGTTATAAATATATATTTAAAGTATTTAAAATGTTCATAGCAGTTGCTTTTGACTGGTTGAGACCTAGCTGACTAGCTTTCTTCCTGCTGGATCTCAATGGTTTTGCACTATTGGACATCAAAGTGCATGAAGGTACTGATTAGTTAAGATAATCAAAGTTGGTGTCTGAGTAGAGTGAAGACTGACTATGCCTACCTCTGCCCATTCCCTGCAGCTAGACAATGTGACCAGACACCCTTTCAGAAGAAACTAAAAACCTGTGTGGCAAGGAAGAGCTCCACCGATGTGACCGTGAGATCTGGTAGAACAGTTACCTCAAGCCCAATTAGCAAAGGTATTACTGGTTAAATGGGTAGAAGAGACTAAAGGCAAGACATAGGTCACTGGCAAGTGCTGCTCCAGAAAGCAATTCTAAGTGTATGTCTTCATGTGTATCCAAAACTTCTGTCCCATTTGCAGCTGATTTTTTTTTTGCCCATTGACTCATATCCAAAACTAAGAGCAAGTAGCTGCTCTTACAATATGTATAATATCACGACCATCCTGTTATTCATCGATTGCCTCGAGCAGGCCTCAGTAATGTCTCCTTCATCCTAGCCCTGAGATTTTTTAAAAAGTGCCATATTCAAGGCGCTTTCAGAGTTAGGAGAATGAGACCCATCATTGTTACTGGTATTTGGCATATTGGGTACGCCACGGGGAGTTTGCCAGACTCTGACGTGTGGGCAGGTTACATTCGGTAGCCTGCCAGTTCGTCCAACGTAGGAATGAGATAATAAGATGCGCAGTTCTGGGAGTTGGGTTTTATAGTCTCTGAGTCTTGGCCGTTGATGGTATTACACGGCGCCAGGGGGCCAGTTGGTGGGTGTGACCCCTGCCTATTGGAATTTGGAGGATCTGGGTGTAGGATGCTCAGCCCCGATCCGAGTAGGCTATGTACAATATATTGCTAGAAAATTACCATCATTTTGAAGTGTTTGCTATGAATTCAAATACCATGTACATTATTTCTATGGAAAATATCTATATTATTTTTAGAGAAGAAAACATATTATCTTCTAAAATCTCAGTGTTTCAACAATGAAATGAAAGAGCTATTATATTTTCAAATATATTTCAAACTCATTCATCCTAAAAAGTTGTAAAAATAATTTTAAATTGTCTCAGCTATTTGTACAAATACAGTTCACGTTGATAGTGATTATCAGGAAGTGACAAAATAACCATTAAGAAAACTTGACCAGGAATTGCATGTTGCCCTTTCAAACATTGATATAAATGTATTAAGTTCCCAGGAACATATTAAAGTTTCTTATTAGTACAGAAGTAAATATATCAATTCAATATTTAACATTATTTAATATTTTATTTTTAAGCAGATCTTGTAATATATAGAAAAAATTTCCTCGGGATCCATGTAGATGGTGTCTAAATATGCTAAAGCTCATCCCAACATGCTATAAAATACTGTCACTTTCCATGCACGATTGGACATTTTTTAAAAGATGGAGTACTGATGCAAGTACGATTATTTAGCCAGAGGATCAATGGGGCTCATGCTTGTGGATCTCAGAACTGCTGACAGTCTCTTTGAGTAATGATTTGTCCACACCTGTGAAAATACTGTAACTTCTCGGCCATCTGCTAATTTACACCATCAGGAGTTACAAAATAGAACTTTCTTCATGCAATGTCTGTCACTCTTCCAGCATCTTTCTCCCCATCTATCCTAGATGCATTAATATAGTCTCCCATGACCTTCAGGGAGGACACTATCATATTTAATCTCATTTAGATTAGCTCAGCCTTTGTGCTAATAAAGTTTGTACCAAAAGTTTTCATCTATTAAAAAAAAAGCAACTTTTCACCTATCTAACAGTAACAAATAAAGTGTGGCTCAAATTACAACAACGGCAACAAAAATTCCAGGAAAAACTTGTGAGATATTTTTTTAAGAGGTTGCTAAGCTGATCGTGGAAACAAGTATTTTGAATTATTAATGATGGAATTTTTACTAGTCACAGAGGCACCTGCTTTCTTAAGAACCTACGACAACCAACTTGTTTATTTTACTTATGACAATAAAGATTCTGAGATCTATATTCAACACACTACCACGGAGCAAGAGAAAGGTAAAATATTTCCTTTTGTCTATTATGTTGTAATAACAACTAGTAAAGAGAAAAAAATAATCATCCAATAGATTCAGTATGCTAATTCTAATGCAGTGGCACTGGATACCTGAATATTACAAGCTGAGGAAGATTCAGAAGCTTAAGGTTCATGAGGGAAGAATGCTGATATTGAGGGGTGATTGTTTTTATGGAAGATGGAATAAGAGATCACATGTTATCACTGAACTACCCACTAGCTCTTTCCATAGTTATAAATATCACCGAAGTAAAACCTCTAATGAAGAATGTATTAGTGCTGGGGACTGGAGAGATAGTACAGTGGGCAGAGAGCTTGCCTTGCATGTAACAGACCCAGGTTCAATCTCCAGCATCACATATGTTTCCCAAGCTCTTCCAGGAATGATCCCTGAGAACAGAGCCAGGACTAATTCCTGAGCAATGCTTTGTGTGCCCCCCACCCAAAAAAAGAATACATACGTGCTATGAATAATATTTAATAACAACTGTATTGGAAAATCCATCAGTGCATATTCAAACATTTTTAGAACTTTCCCAAAGCCATAAAAACTTTTTGCTATTATTGATATATATGTGTACATATATAAGAAGAGAAATGTATTTTGTGACATTATCTTAGTGTTAGTAGAGAAACCTTTTAATAAATTATATCTCACCAAATGGATTTTATGTGTTCTCTTTCAGAAAATGTGTTATTCACTTTTTATCGTTTTCAAGCCTCATCTGAACCAGGTAATTTACAGAGATAAGTGGATATACTGCTTTAATTTCTAAATTTGGCTAAGTCAAAATGCTCCATGAAAAGGAAGCCAGTCTCAGAAGATTCTCTTCAACCCAAGCACATGGTGAAATCTCAGATTCATGGAACAACAAAGTCATCCCATCCCTTTTGAGGTTTTTAATACAAGATAAGTTTTGCTACATTTGACATAGATTCAGAAATAGCAGTGGTTTAAGCTACACAAAACTTTATTTCTGTGTTAGTGGAGCTAAATGGTACATATGCTCATAGGGTTTTCTAGGTTCCTGGCTCCTTTTGCTTTGTAGCTTTGTCTAAATAGTTTTAAACACCTGGCTTTGTCTAAATATCTAAATAGTTCAAGACTGTAACCATGGCAGTGTCCAATCAGTAAAGGCAAAGGACGCAAAATGCATAAATTTCTTTTCCCTTAAGGACACAATGTAGAAACTGCATCTCACATCTCCACTCATTTCCCACTCATTTCACATTGGCCAAAACACATTCTCTTTGCTCCTCTTCACTACACTAAGTCAGGGTGGGAAATGCTCAATAATTACACTAGAAGAGCTGGATTCTAAGGAACAACTATCAGTGATTTTACAGGGACACAGTGAAGTTATCTTAAAAATACCCCCAAAACACACAGTAAAGTCAGAAATTCTGTTTTGTTTTGGAATCACATTTGACAGTGTTGAGGGGATACTCCCAACTGTTTTCTGAGGTTACTTCTAGAGGTGTTTCTGGGTTACTACTGGAGGTGATCATGCAGTGTTGGAACTAGAACCTAGGCCTCCAGCATTCAAAGTATGTGATGCAGCAAAGTCACAATTCTACCATTAGGAAGCATAGAAGAAAATGAACTTGATTTTTTTCAAGGAACTTAGAATTACTCCTAGCTGATCAATGACTCTTTGGCAGGAAAAGGCCTCCCAAGCAGTGTTCATGGGGTCCCTGGGCTCCACCTGCAATTAGGGTCTTGGTTCAATGCAAAGGCTCAAATCAACCGTGCTGCTTGAGTCCTGCAGTGTTGGGGTACCCAGGGACCATGTGGTGCCAGGAATCAAACCCTAGATGGTGGGATGCATGCTAGGCTTGTACCCTAACTTTTGGGCTATGTCCTGGCCCCATAATTCTTTAGTTTAATTTGGGTGACAATGTTTCTAAGATTCAGACTAGTAAATGAAAATGTGTATTGATAAATATCGATCAAAGACATCTTGGGCTCTTCCCCTGGTGTTACATTCGTTTACATTAAGATGAGTTACATTATTAACTTTATAATTTACATTTTTTAAAAGTACAAGGTGATGTTGTTGATGGTCAAAGGTCCATAGTAAGCCTGAGCCCTGAAAAAAACAGAAGATTACTCCTGCATGCTGATGCCAATGATGAGGAGCAGTCTGTCAAGGTAAAGAAAACTGTACTTAACTGCCATAACTGACTCTGCTCACTGCGTAAGTAGGTCTGTTTGGGATATTTTGAAGGAGGACATATTTTGGTGCTGTTGTAAATAAAAGTTACTATTAATAATTTTCATGTGATTCAAAAGAACAAAAGCAACCAATGCTGGCGCGGATGTCGCGAGAAAGGGACCCTCCTTCACTGTTGGTGGGAATGTCGACTGGTTCAGCCCTTCTGGAAAACAGTATGGACGATTCTCAAAAAATTAGAAATTGAGTTCCCATTTGACCCAGCGATAGCACTCCTGGGAATATATCCCAGAGAGGCAAAAATGTATAGTCGAAGTGATATCTGCACTTGTTTGTTCATTGCAGCATTCTTTACAATAGCCAGAAACTGGAAGAAACCTGAATGCACAAGAACAGACTACTGGTTAAAGAAACTTTGGTACATCTACACAATGGAGTACTACGTAGCTGCTAGAAAAGATGAAGTCATGAAATTTACATACAAGTGGTACTACATGGAAAGTATCATGCTAAGCGAAATGAGTCAGAAAGAGAGGGATAGACATAGAAAGATTGCATTCATCTGGGGGATATAAAGTAACAAAATATGAGATTAATACCCAAGAATAGCTGAGATCAGCACCAGGAGGATTACTCCATAGTTTAGAGGCCAGCCGGGCATTCTAGGGGAAAGGGCAGCTCAGATAGAGAAGGGAGCACCAAATAAAGGGTGTTTGGAGGATCCTCCCAAGAGGGGAGATGCATGTTGAAAGTAGACTATGGACTGAACATGTTTGCCACTCAATGCCTCTTTTGCAGACCACAACATCCCAACGGAGAGAGAGAACACAAGGGATTGCCCTGCCACAGAGGCAGGGTGGGTTGGGGGGGATAGGGGTGGGAGGGATATTATCCACGGTGGTGGAAAATGGGCACTGGAAGAGGGATGGGTATTTGATCACTGTATAATAGAAACCCAAGCACAAAAAAAAAATTGTAAACCTACAACTGTAACTCATGGGTTTCACTAATAAAAAAAATAATTTTCATGTGAAATGGGGTGGGGGATGGCATATATCACTGTATCACTGTATCACTGTCATCCTGTTGTTCATTGATTTGTTCGAGCGGGCGCCAGTAACGTCTCCATTCATCCCTGTCTCATGCTAGTGTAGCCTGATGGCATATTGGGGGCTTTTTCAGGGTCAGAGAATGAGGACCATCATTGTTACTGTTTTTGGCATATTGAGTATGCCACAGATAGCTTGCCAGGCTCTGCCATGCAGGTGGGATACTCTCGGGGGCTTGCCAGGCTCTCTGAGAGGGACGGAGACTTTTGGGGCGGCCTCCTATCGCCTTTACAGGTGTTTCCGGTCTGCAAATGCAAGCTTTTGGTCAACTGGCATGTTGTAATGATCTGCACACTGACAAACACGTATCTGCCTTCATATCTGGGCAGCACCTGGAACATCTGTGGCCTCAGATTGATCTCCTTGAGGTTGAAGGAGTGCACACAGAGACTGTTGAGGAGCTGGCAGAGCAGGACCCTATCTCGGAGGGTCCCAGATCAAACACCTGCGCCGAGTTCCAGGTCACCTGGTGGATGGCTGACAGTACCCCTCGTGGGTAAGCCACTGCGTGCACTGCCACCACGGCTATCTGTCTCCAATAGCGCTGCGACTCGGTCCAGCCAGGGCAGGTGGTGATGCTGTGGCCATTGCCACAGTTTCCCAGTGCCCCCGCCCCCCGCGACACCATTCTGTCTGAATCTTGCAAAACGGCTGGTGATGTCCAGCAAGAATCACCCATAGAGTTCCATGCCTGGTGTGCTGAGCCACGTGCTGTCTAAGGCGCGATGGTGAGCCGGGTTCTGGAGAGAGCGAGGGGTTTGGGCGATGTTGGTGCCATCTTGCCTCCACGATGGCATATATAGACTTGCTAATCAGATTCTGGTCTCTGGCAACAGTCCAGATTCTGGGGCTTGTTAGAAATGCAGATATTTAGGTTCTTCCACAACCGAATCAGCATCAGTATTTTAGTAAATCTCCAGGAAATTCATCAAGCTTTCTTAAGAGAATGAATGTCATTTCTACTGTGCTTTTTTGCATCCTCGGGATATATTCCCAGAAGTGGTATTGCGGGGTCATATGGAAGCTCAATTTCTAGCTTTTGAAGGACTGTCCCTATTGTTTTCTAGAAAGGCTGGACTAGTGGCATTCCCACCAACAGTGAAAGTGCACCCTTTCTCTCCACATTCACACCAACACTGGTTGCTTTTGTTCTTTTGAATGTGTGCCAGATTCTGTGGTGTGAGATGTATCTCATTGTTGTTTTGATTTGTATCTCCCTGACAGCTAGCGATGTGGAGCATATTTTCATGTGCCTTTTGGCCATTTGTGTTTCTTTTTTGAGGAAACTTCTGTTCACTTCTTCTCGCCATTTTTTGATGCAGTTGGAAGGTTTTTTTTTTTTGGTACAATTCCACTAGTGTCTTATATATCCTGGATATTAATCCCTTATCAGATGGGTATTGGGTAAATATTGTTTCCCATTCTGTGGGCTCTTTCTGTATTTTGAGCACTGTTTCTTTTGAAGTGCAGAAGCTTCTTAGTTTGATGTAGTCCCATTTGTTTATGTTTGCTTCCACTTGGATGGTCAGTTCTGTTTCGTCCTTAAAGATGCTTTTAGCTTCAATGTCATGGAGAGTTCTGCCTACATTTTCCTCTATGTACCTTATGGATTCATGCCTGATATTGAGGTCTTTAATCCACTTTGATCTGACTTTTGTGCCTGGCATTAACAGAGGTCAGAGTTCATATTTTTTTCCAGGTAGCTATCCAGTTTTCCCAGCACCACTTGTTGAAGAGGCTTTCCTGGTTTCACTTCACATTTCTTGCTCTTTTGTTAAAGATTAAGTGGTCATATATTTGGAGGGTCTATGACAGAATATTCAACTCTTCCAATGGTCTTCAGGTCTGTTTCTAGCCCAGTACCATGCTGTGTAAGACAGCATGGTACTGGGCTAGAAACACTATGGAATACTATGCAGCTGTCAGGAGAGATGAAGTCATAAACTTGCTTATAAATGGATAGACATGGAGAGTATCAAGCTAAGATAAGTGAGTCAGAAAGAGAGGGACAGACATAGAAGGACTTCACTCATTTGTGGAGTATAAAACAACATAACATAAAGCTGACACATAAGAATAGTAGATACATGGAACAGGTAGATTGCTCCATAGCTGGAAGCCTGCCTCATGAGTGGAGGGGAGAAGGCAGCTGGAATACAGAAGGGACCACTAAGAAAATGATAGCTTGAGGAACCATTCGGGATGGGAGATGTGTTCAGAAAGTAGATAAAGGACCAAACATGATAACCTCTCAGTGTCTGTATTGAAAACCATAATGCCCAAAAGTAGAGAGAGAGTATGGGAAATATTCATAGAGGCAGGGGGAGGGTGGGAAAGGAGAGGGTATACTGGGGATATTGGTGGTGGGAAATGTGTACTGGTGGAGGGATGGGTGTTTGATCATTGTGTGATTGTAACCCAAACATGAAAGCTTGTAACTATCTCACAGTGATTAAATAAAATTTTTAAATTAAAAATAAAATCTAAAAAATAAAAATAAAATCTAAAAAAGAGAGAGAGAACAAAGCAATTCTGCACTGCAGCACTGCCCTCCCATTGTTCATCGATTTGCTCAAGCAGGCACCAGTAATGTCTCCATTGTGAGACTTGTTACTGTTTTTGGCATATCTAGTATGCCACGGGGAGCTTGCCAGGCTCTGCCATGTGGGTGGGATACTCTTGGTAGCTTGCCGGGCTCTTCGAGAGGGGCGGAGGAATTGAACCTGGGTCTGCCGCGTGCAAGGCAAACACCCTACCCACTGTGCTATCATTCCATCCCATAATAACGTTAAACATTGCAAAAGAGGAGTACAGATCCAGAACTTCTGCATCCAAATTCAGTCATTCTGAGTCATAGTGGAAAAAATATTACTTCCCCACTTTGCCCTTCTAATTATATCTTTCTTCTAATCCCTGACAAATCCCCTACTCGGTAAGCATATTTGCTAAGTTGTAAATGATTATTCTTCTGTGTTTTCTAATACAGGGAAGTAAAATTGATTTTGAATCTCCCATTCATATGCTGCCTTTGAATCTTGTTTCCTCAGCTCCAAGAAATTGAAGAATCATTGCCAGGCCAGGAGGCTCTCTTTCATCTCCATATGATCTCGTCGTACCAACATGTTAAGTTTGAATGCACGGACAATCCTGGAGTGTACATAGGAGTAAAGGACAACCATCTTACTCTAATTAAAAAAGAAGACGAAACTGGGGAAAGGAATACTATATTTACGATCTCTCAGATTAAGCTTAATACAAATGGCAGCTTATAGGTGGAGCAGCCCAAAGAAAAAAGAATGAGAGACAAGCTAAGAAAGGGAAACAGAGTGATTCTCTAGCAGGACGACAGTTTTTATTATGTATAAATTATTTTCCTTAGTTTTGTTTGTTTTCGAACCACACCTGGCAGTGCCTGATGGTTACTCCCCGCATATTACTCAGAGGTCAGTCTAGGTAGTGCTCAGGACACCATGTGGTGCTCAGGATCAAGTCATCAACTCCCACACGCAAAACTTGTGCTCAGGACCTTTGAGCCATCTCTCCAGCCCTGGTTACGGTTACATTTATTATTTCTCTCTGAATTACTGTATCTTGAATTTATCAGTATATTTAAAAGGATATTGATTAAAAGAAAAGGCTTGCCAACATCCTGAAGAGATTCAGGCTAGCCTTTACTTTTTTCTACTTTCAGTTCAGGCTGAAGATTGAGGACTTTATAGTTAAGACTGAGACTTCTACACAGAAGCAAGTGCCCAGCCCATGTATCACTTCAACTAAAAATCCATTTAAAGAACTACACAGGAAACAGTTTTCCCTGGTTCCAAACAACAGACACCAATACTAATGTGGATGATAAAAAGACAACTAGGGCTGGAGCAGAAATTCAGTGGGTAGGGTGCTTTCTCTGATGTGCTCAAACCAGGCTTGATCCTAGGCATTGCATATGGTCCACAGAGGCCCACCAGCAACAAACAAAAAAGATAAAAAGACAAACAGATGTTCACAATTGGAATAAAATGACAAGTTTGTTCATAGATACTTTACCCTATACTCGTATTAGCTCTTTTAGTCAGTGGTTATTATATAACAAAATATAGATATCCAAAATGGCAAGAAAATTTTCATAATTAAGCATAACAAATCAGGACTGAAGAGATAGTACAGGGGTTTAGGCACTTGCTTGGCACATGGCAGACTCTGGTTCAATTCTCAGAACCACATATGCACCATAACCAGGAGTAAGCCCTGAGCACAGAGCCAGGAGTAAACCCCAAGCACTGCCCAGTGTGGCCTAAAAACAACCTCCCCCCCAACTAAGAAAAGAAAAGAAAGAAAAGAAAAAAGAAAACCAGAATTTGTAAAAACTTATAATTTTATTTTATTTGTTTCATTTCTTAAATTCTAATTTTTTTTCTAGTGATGCCCAGTGGTTCCTCCTGGATCTGTAATCAGGAATTATTCCTGGCATTTCTTGGGGATCATATGGGATGCCAGGGGTTGAACCCAGGATGGCTGTATGCAATGCGAATGTACTAATGCTCCTGCCCCTAAATTCTGATTTTCACATCGTTTTTTTTTCACTCAGAACATATTTTCATTGATATAAGAGATAAGTAATATTGCATTACTTTAAGGTATACAGATATTATGATGCCATATGTTAAATATTGCTTCTGAAGTTTACCTAACTCATCCTTCACCTCAGATAACTGCTGTTTTTTGGTCACTGTTTTGTTGAAAACATTTGATATCTTCTCTTTTAGAAACTCAGCTATGCACTACAGTATTGTTAGTTGTAGTCACCAGCTTAATGCTGTCAACTGTAGTTTCTATGCTGTACATACTGTAGAGATCATACTGTATGAGATGCATTTCACTTGGTTTAATGCCCAAAGTGTCATCCATGTTCTTATAAAAGAATTCTTTTCTCCTTATGGATGACTGATATTCCATTATGTATGTATCATATTTTTATGTCTTACATTCTTACATTAGAAAATGAAATAAATTTTGTTCGAACATTCCATTGAAATCACTGACATAAGCTACCAAATTAGAATAGTTTTATTTATTTTATTTTTCAATTTGGATAACATGAGTTGACATAACTGTATATGTTTTAGAATTTCCCTCTGCCACAGTCCACTAGATCCCTCCCCCACTCTGATAACTACAGCTGTGTGTTCTGAGCCCATGTGTTTCCTAAACTTATTTTGCCTATAAACAACTTTTTTTGTTGCTGGGGGGCATTGTTTGGGGCGACACCCAGCAATGCACTGGGCTTGTTCCTGGCTCTGCACTCAGGAATTACTCCTGGAGGAGCTTGAAGAACCATATGGGATGCTGGACATCGAACCCAGATGGGCCAAGTGCAAGGCAAATGCCATACTGCTGTATTTCAGCCCCACAAAACTCATATTTTTAAAATCACTTAGCCACCTGTATTGAGGCATCTAAGTTCCAAGAGATCCATGTCTCACAGTGAGGCCAGAACTTCTCTTACCTAATAGCACCTAGCTGAGACACAGGACTAACATTACAATCTCAGTAATACAAACAATGAATTATATGTCATATTAGGTAAGATGGGGCTGGAGTGATAGCACAGTGGGTAGGGTGTTTGACTTGCATGCAGCTGACCCAGGTGTGATTCTTCCATCCCTCTCGGAGAGCCCAGCAAGCTACCAAGAGTATCCCGCCCACACGGCAGAGCCTAGCAAGCTCCCCATGGTGTATTCAGTATGTCAAACACAGTAACAAGTCTCACAATTGGAGACATAACTGGTGCCCACTTGAGCAAATCGATGAACAACATATGAAACACTGAATTCAAGGGATCTATTAACCTTTATATAACTTGTCATACTAGACAAAATTTGTTCTCTTCTTTTGTCCCATGTCCATTTGTTGTTCAGCTTCCTGACAACCTCCTACAATATTTACTTGATTTCTGATTTTATTTCTTTTGGCTCTTTCTTTGATATATATTTTGCATCCACTGAGCCTCATTTCTCTGTCGTCTGACTTATACAGGACAACAGCTTAATTCTGCTTTGTCTGCCTATTGTCATAGAATTTATCCTATTGATGACAATAATTTTTTATTAAACATCTTTTTATTTTACTGTTACTAAGTAGCAATAGTCAACCACATAACATTTTAAGCTAGTAATAGAATAGTTTTTTATTAAACTAAAACCATAGCAATTTTTACTATATTTTTCATAAAAATAACTAAAAATTATAAATATAATAATATGAATGGTTGAGGAAGGGGAAATACTGAGATATGCTGTAGGGAAAAGGTCACCCTGGTAGAGAATGTAATGTTTGAACACTGTATGCATTAAACCCTATTATTAACAGCTTTGAACATCATGGTTTCTGAAATTTTTTTTAAATTAGAATACATAATAATATTTACAAGTATTATTACAAGTATTATTATAAGATTTCTTCTGAAAGTACACATTTTTAATTTTTAATGTGTTAAAACTTATTGAACATACTTATTGGTGTAATGTCAGATAAGAGGCTGAAAATTACTATTATGAGGACAAATCCCTTTTTCATTACTTCATCAATAATTTTACTATAAAGACACAAATTATATTGTTCCCTTTGAAACATAAAATTCTGAACCTATGCATCTGTATGATATACTTAAATATTAAGTAATCCAAATATATTGATTAGTTTTTATTCTTGAATAAACTATACTTTGTAAAAATATGTGTTCATATTGATTTATCATAAACTTATTCAATAGCCTGAAGTTCTTATGTAAAAGTGAGTTACCTCCATTGACAGTCCTCCTGGTCCCTGATTTCCCTTTGGATAGGAACTGGGTGTTGAAAGTAGGTAAAGAGATAAACCTGATACCTTCTGTATTGCAACCATAATATCCAAAAGGAGGGGGAGAGAGAGAGAGAGAGAGAGAGAGAAAGAGAGAGAGAGAGAGAGAAGAAAAGTGCCTGACATAGAGGCAGGTAAGGGGGAAGGAAGGAAACTGGGGACACTACTCCTGGGAAATGTACACTGGTGGAGGGATGGGTGTTGGAACACTATACAGGGGTACAGGGGTTAAAGGCATTTGTCTTAAACCCAACCAACACTGGCACCACAAATGGTTCCCAAGCATCTCTAGGGGGTCACTCCTGAGCACAGATCCAAGAATAGCAGCTGAGCATGCTGGGTGTGGCCCAACAGCCCCCCCCCAATGGTTTTCACTATCATGACAGTACTATTTGGTTACAATATTCAAATGTGTGATGGCGTTTTATCATTTATCTGCATGTTTTGTTAACTCATTAAACAAATTGCTAAAAAGAATCAGAGTATTTTGGTGTACCAGAAGTGACAAATATTATAAAAACTTGCTTTTCCTTAATTTAATTTATATTCTTTAGATTTTTATGCAAATAGCTTCCTTGAATATTGTCTAAAAATTTATATTTGGATGACTAAAGTGACTTGAAATTGAAAAAATAAGTAAAAGCAGAGATTGGGGTGGTTTTGGAAATAAATTTGCTGACATAATTAGAATTCAAAACAGTAGGTCTAAAAAGATAGATTCATAACTACAATTTATGTAGAACAAAAAGAGTTAAACAATACTTTTGACCTTTGCTCCTCGCATGATAGATAAAAAATATATTAAGCTGTGGTTTTCAGAGGGTGGAGGGGTTGTTTAATGTAGGTTTACCCTTTCATACTAACGTCCGTATACATCAGCAATCTTATCTTCTAGTACTTACTCCTTAAATATTTATCATGTATATTGATTTCTGCTAGACATCATGAAATAAACCCAAGCTATGTTCCCTTTTCGTATGGAACTTATATAAGCATAATATTTGCTAAATCTCTAACTCTTCAGTCTGCAGTGACACAGAGGTAAAGGGGAACCCATAGAGTTTTTGATCAGGAAAAGATACAGGACTAAATTCTCTTTTCTCACACCTCAAGGCCAACCCTCATATACGCATATATCCATTTTCAATGTCAGATTTGTCAGGTTCCCTCTGCAGGTCTAAGGAAAAACTGAAAAATTTTGTTGTTCCAAATCCCTAGTCAGAGTCTAAGGCTAGAAGACATCAAAGTTGATTAAATGAATTGGAGAAATGTAACTTGAATGCCAGTTCATAAAAGATCAATGAGCTATTTCTGGTGAGGCACAAAGATAAAACAAACAAAATACTCATCTAGTGGAAGTTTTGAGACTAGTTTTCAGACCAAGATAGCTGAAAAAGGAAAAGAGCTTCGAGTGTTTTTGCAGTTTCAACACAAAGAATGCCTAAAAACTAAATTAAATACAGGAGGTTTTGAGACTAGTTTTCAGACCTAGATAGCTGAAAAAGGAAAAGATCTTAGAGTGTTTCTGAACCTTCAACACAAAGAATGCCTAAAAACTAAATTAAATACAGCGGGGCCTCACGGGATGGAGGGTGGAACCAGCCCTTCTCCCCCACCCCGAAGAGACCCCAAGTTGCCGCCTGTGACTTTTTGAGCTCCTTAATAGCCATGATCCCAGAGGCACACAACTGAATCTCAGAATGCAGCTGCTTTTGGCAGAAATCCCTCCAGACTTTATTATTGAAATAGAAGAATTCCAATTCTAATTCATATGCTCTTCATAATCAGCAATAGAAAACAAATTGTCTAATGATGACTTTTTGGCAGGTCTGATTGTTGGGGAAAATTTCAAATAACAATGGTGGGTCTTTTGTCAAAATGTTGAATGTAATCAAGGTAGAGAGAGAGTAAAGTGGAAATCATCTGCCACAGAGGCCAGGGGAGAGGTGGAATGGTGGGTATACTGGGTTTCTTGGTGGTGGAAAATGTGCACTGGTGAAGGGATGGGTGTTTGATCATTATATGACCGAGACTTAAACCCGAAAGCTTTGTACCTGTTCTCACAGTGATTCAATAAATAAATAAATAAATAATACATTATTTCACAAGAGACTTTACTGAGACAATCCACTGGAGAATAGTCATTGTATCAAGGAGCTGTGTGTCTCAAGAAGCACAGACCTACAGATAAACTCAGAGCCTAAGTGTGCTTCTCCAGGATGGGAAGAAAGGAGAAGCAGAAACTAAAAGAGAAAGGGGATAAGAATGCTGGCACCACCCGTAAAATGCTAACTTGGGTAAGAGGGTGCTGGGCACAAAGATTTTACATTGGCTCAGCTTTGTTTCAGCACCTCTAAGCAGGAAAGAGACGGAGAGCTGGCAAGATACTAATACAGACAGTACGTGGTCGCCCCAAATTGGGGCTAGAACCAGTCATCCTGGAATGAACTCCAACCAACAGATATTTGCCAAGATCAGCTCAGAACTTAGGAACACTTCTCCAGGTAGAGGGACCAGGTAATCTCCAACCTAAGGTAGAGGCTACCAAGCACAAAGGTTCTACAGATGCTGAATGTCCTACTCATTAGCCACTGAGTGGAAGATTGAAGTAGGCTCTACCCTTAAGAAGCATGTGATTGCTCGGGCTGCAGTTGGGAGCAGTCATCAAGAATGTAAAACCCACTCAACACATTTCCTGCCTTGACCCACTCCTCCAGTCTTCAGCCTTAGTTTACTCTGAACTAAGGAGAATTTTCCCAGGAAGGGGAGATAAAGCTCCATCCATAGGTGAAGGGAGAATTACACACTGGTTTTACAGAAATTCAGCTTAGTACCTGTACCTGCTGAGAGGGAAAGAATGGGATCTGGCAAAATCCAATATGGACAGTGAACTGTTGTCCCAGGTTTCAACTGGGAGTCAATATATAAAGGTGAGCCCCACCCCTCAGGTTAAGGCTGAGAGTCACTTGATCACTTGATCACTTGATCCCCCGTTATTCATCGATTTACTCGAGCGGGTGCCAGTAACGTCTCCATTCATCCCTGTTGCGTGCTAGCATAGCCCAGTGGCATCCGTTTGTTCTAGGAACATGCAGAGCCTCAAACCAATCACTCATTGTCTTGATGAAGAAGTCTGACCATCTTGTAGGTGGGCATCCACGCGATCTTTTGACGTCCCGTGGAATCCAGTCAGTAATGGCTCTAGTCCAGCGGTTGTCTGTAAACCTCATTACGTGTCCAGCTCATATGATTTTTGATGCCTTGGCAAATGAGACAGCGTCCCTGATTCTTGAGCATTGACGGAGATCAGAACTCCGGATTCTATCTCTCATTTGAGTAAATCGTGATATTCTAAGCATAGCTCTTTCGATTCCTCTTTGAG